AGACAGAGTTTTTCAAAACTGTAGAACGATCGATGGCACGATAGAAGCATAAAGGTACTAAGAGGATTCGATGTTCTTAGTTGTAAAATTTATTAGATAAAATACTGGCGTCATTATATTCTTCGATTTAAATGCTTTTTAAAATATTTAAATACCCACACTGTTGGTTAGAACTGAAAACTTGAGAGAAAGTGTATGTAGTAGATGCAATGACTGGAATGGCAGTTTATCAAACTCCTGAAAATATGCAAAAAATATGAGTATTTTATACACAATCCATGCTTGAATGTGCACTCTGTCTTACCTGGACTTACTTAATAAATGGTTTCCAATAAACCTCCAAAATATTGATATACCAAGCTTGGCTTTCAGTCCCAAAATGATGGTATAAAACTACATTTGTTATTGGTAAATAGATTATTACCGTAATTACTGATGGAATAAAAACAACAGCTAGAATAGCTATTAACCAGTACAAACACCATGCTATTAGACGAAATCTTTGCGCATATCCACGATAACCACAAAGAATATTAATATAAAGGAAAGTCGTTGCACGTGCGAATATAAATGTTCCGAGTGTAAGAAGCAGTACAACAAGTGGTAGAAAAGCAATAATGACCACATAAAGAATAATAAGACCACCGATAGCTGGAACTGGAATTAATTCTAGTTCAGATCGAGCTAGAATTGTTAATTTTGTCGTTAATGTTGTATGTATTTTTGTAATAAATTCATCCTCTGACATAGTAACCTTTTTCATCGTCGAAGGATGACGCGTGGAGTAGTGCTGTCTATAGTGCTGTGTTAATATTGTAGCTAATGCAGATTTAAAATCATCAATATTATTTTTATTTTTAACACGTAACATTAATCGAAATTTTGGTGGTTTATCTGTATCATCAACTAATTTTAATATTGTAAATAAACCAATTTTCAATTCTTTCCAATCTAATTCCTCTGATTTATCTTTATCACAAAAAGCAAAAACACGCTCAAGTTGTTCGTCATACTTTTCGTCTCTTACTGTTTTTTCCATTTTTTCTCCCAATTCATCGTCTCCATCTACGTCCGCATCTCGGAAGGGGATTCTATATTCATTTGTTGTTAGTTTAGCAGAATTAATTAGATTAATACCATTGTCCTTTGAAACTCGAAATTGGACGATA